CAACCTGGGCATGTGCTCTGACCAGGAATCAAACCTGATCTCCTGGCTCTTAGGTCAACACTCAACCCCCAAGCCACTCCAGCTGGGCATATGAGCACTATTTTTAGTTGGTTTTAAGAGAAATTCATGAATCAGGGTAAGAAGTCCCTGAATTATAGAGTCAATGTGTAATTTAATAACAGCTTTTGGAATTTACATGGTTTTGGGGGCTTGGGGTTTGGTTTGAGTTGGATTGGTTTGATTTGTTTTATTTGTATCCTCACAGCCTCTTCCTTGGCTTGTAAAGTATGGAGGTTATTCATAAAGTAGCATCTTTTCCCCCTAACTACAGAGATAAGGGCAGTGGTTGGCAGACTCATTAGTCAAATATCAACATTACGACGATTGAAATTTCTTTTGAGAGCCAAATTTTTTAAACTTAAACTTCTTCTAACGCCACTTCTTCAAAATAGACTCGCCCGGGCCGTGGTATTTTGTGGAAGAGCCACACTCAAGGGGCCAAAGAGCCGCGTGTGGCTCGAGAGCCGCAGTTTGCCAGCCACGGGCCGAGGGAAACCATTTTTTTTTTTTTTAAACAAACTTTTTATTTTAGAATAGTGTTAGATTTAAAGCGAAGAGAGCACAGAGAGTTCCTGTAGACCTGTATCTAGCTTCCCCCCATTACTGTGGCATATTTGGAACCAACATGAGTACATTATTATTAACTGAGCTCCACACTTTGTTCAGATTTCACCAGCTTTTCCCTAATGCCCTTTTCTGTCCCAGGATCCGATCCAGGATTCTAATTACATTTGGTTGCCATGCCTCCGCAGGCTCCTCTGGGCTCTGACAGCTTCCCAGGCGTCATTGTGTTTGATGATCTTGACAGTGTTGAGGAGTCCTGGCCAAATAACTTGATAGACGGTACCTCACATTGAATTCATCTGATTTTTTTCTCATGCTTAGACTGGAGTTGTGGGATTTTGAGAGGAAGATTATGAAAGTCATTCTCACATTATATGAAAGCTACATACCATCAATATAACATCATTGGTTTAAAAAAATTGTATTTTTTAAAATATATTTTTATTGATTTCAGAAAGGAAGGGAGAAGGAGAGAGAGAGAGAGAAACATCAGTGATGAGAGAGAATCGTTGATCGGCTGCCTCCTCATGTCCCACACTGGGATCAAGCCCTCAATCTGGGCATGTGCCCTGGCTAGGAATCAAACTGACCTGGCTCATAGGTCAATGCTCAACCACTGAGCCACCCCAGACAGGGGTTACCTTCATCTTAATCTATTTCAGGCAGTGTTAGCCAGGTTTTTCCACTATAAAGTTACCCTCTTCCCTATTCTATACTCTGAGAAAGTGAATTAATAAGTGCAGGCCACATTCAAGGATATGTTGGGAGTTAAATTCCAACCCCTGGAGAGGAGACTATTAGGCATTTTTGGTTCACTAAATTATAACCCGTCATCTCTGCATAAAAAAATAAAACAAAAATGTGCCTTGCCACCTTATCTCTCTGGTCTCTTTCTTTGTTTACTGAACGTTTATAGAGGATGCGTTCCTGAACTAGAAAGGTTTTTCTGGGCAGCGAGGATTTTAGGGCTGCATTTTCTGACCTCCTCAACCTGTGTCTTATGTGACATACACCTAATGTATGTATGAGAGCAGGATACCCCACCACAGAAATGAGGTACAGGGAAGCACCAGGTATCAGGAACCCCATGAGATCACAACTCTGAATATATAGGATTTCTGGGTAGGTAAGATTTTATTTCTTCAAGTATCAAAAAAAATTTTTTTTAATATTTTGACCATTTTATATTACAGTTCCAAAATGTTATATAATTTAACATTTTCTTAATGTGTGTGATAACATGACATTATTCCAGTGTATAAATTTTATACGGCTTGCTGTTCCTTCACTAGAGGTCTAGATTGTGGGACGAGTTGAGTTTTGATCTGCTCGTATTGTGCGTTGATTCTTCTCTTGCTCAGCTGTCATTTCTTGCCGCTATCAGTCAGCCAGAGGGAGGCAATTGGGGACAACCAAGCCGGCGGGGGAGGCAGTAAGGTGGTTGGCCAGTGGGGAGGGAGGGGCAGTTGGAAGTGACCAGGCCAGTGGGGGGGGGGGGCAGTTAGGGGCGATCAGACAGGCAGGCAGGTTAGCAGTTAGGAACCAGCAGCCCCAGATTGTGAGAGGGTGCGGGCTGGGCTGAGGGGAGCCTTCCTCTCATCCTGTGCACAAATTTTGTGCAGTAGGCCTAACCGACAGTTGGACATACCCCAAGGGGTCCTGTGGATTGGAGAGGGTGCAGGCTGGGCTGAAGGGAACCCCCCCCTCACCCCTGTGCACAAATTTCATGCTCCAGGCCTCTAGTCATATATATATAAAAGCCTAAGCAGCCAAATGACAGAACGACCAAACAACTGGCTAACTGTTTGCTATGACATGCACTGGCTACCAGGGGTCAGACACTCCACAAAGGAGCTGCCCACAACAGGAGCGCTGCTCAGCAAGCTTACCAAGCGGCAGTGGCAGGCGCAAGCAGAGCCGGGATGAGTGGGATCCGCGTGGCGCCCAGCCTGGGTTCGGCTCCTCCCGGGCCATCTGCCGCCTCGAAACCAGCAGTCCGACATCCCCCCAGGGGCCCCAGATTGCAAGAGGGCACAGGCCAGGCTGAGGGACCCCACCGGGGCACAAATCTGTGCACCAGGCCTCTAGTATATAAGATGCTTGATTATTTATTTCAATATACTTTATTGGCAAAGTAGGAAACCCTGTACATTCTGTGTGAATTACAGGTGTCATTTGCTCTGACATGAACTTGGTGTTGGAGTGCACGTGGCTCATCGGTGCATGTGTATGGAGTTAACACCAGAGGGAGGTTAAAGCTCCAGCATCCCTCAGACCGGGCCGTAGGGGAATGAAGTGAAAACTGATTAGAGCAGCCATAGTGATAAGGATGAAAGATTCCTTTTAATGATTCCCTGAATTCCTGCAGTGACCTGTTTCCTGCTGGGTGCTGAGGCAGGAAGGCCTCCAGGGCCAGGCACTGGTGCAGCCACCACTGTATGATGGAGACACAGGTTCCTGCAGAAGATCATTAGCAACTACCGTGTTTCCCCGCCTGCTTCTCTGCCTTCTCCGCCGCCCTGCTGGCTTGATTCTCCAAAGCTTCGCTCCCTTCTGCAGCACTTGCCTTCTTTCTACACTGTCATCAGTCTTCACTCTGGCCTGGATGTGCAAATTAACCACCATGTTGGTTGGGTTCATTTGCATACTCGCCCTGATTTGGCTGGTGGGTGTGGCTTGTGGGCATAGTGAAGGTATGGTCGATTTGCATGTTTCTCTTTTATTAGAGAGGATTATCATCGGGGCGTGGTTTTAGAGAAAGCAAAACAGGTTAATTAGCGGGGTGGCTGGAAGAACAGTGGTGTGGGTTATTCAGAACCAGACGGAATGCTTTACATGGCTTTCTATAATTTGAGAAGGTGGAAAGAAAACCACCGTGGACTTTTAAGAATCCAGTTGGTCAAATTCTTATATTCGGTAGTGATTTTCACTTCTTGGTAAATTCATATTGGGCCCACATTAGATTAGACCAACTACAGCAGTGCAAAGCCTGATAACCTGATACCCAATTTTCATCGTGTCATTGAAGCCTCTGATTTTGATAAATAGGTTTTAAAATGCAGACATCAAATTTATGTCTGTCCATTTAATATTGGTGTTGTGGTTGGCATCATTTTATTGCCTTTTTGTGAACTTGTAAGTTATTCTTAATAATAGCATCAAAATATTTCTGTCTTGATGACAGGCAATAATTCTGGATTTGTATCTGTCTGCTTTTTTTAGTTTATGTTACATAGTCTCTATTACAAGTTATTTTCAATTTTACTTTGTACTTGTAAGCAATGCCATCATCAACTTTAAGTTCTTTATTGTTGTAATGTTTGTTTTTATTACAAAAGTAATACATACTTTTTAAATAGCATTCAGAAAATGTTTTTAAATAGCACTTGGAAATTATGAAAAAGGTATAAGGAGGAAATATTACTAATGCCCTTAACTACAGGGTATTCCCAAAAAATATATGCACACTTTTAACAGCTGATAGCTCAATTTTGAAAATGAAATGTATTTTAATAAGCACTGCCTTTATAATTATTCAAAGTGTGTGTTTACATTTTTGAGGACACTCTGTATATAATCACTTCTTATTTTTATATATTTGCTTCTACTTTTAAAAAATATCTTATTTATTGATTTTAGAGACAGAGAGAGAAGCATTAGTTTGTTGCTCCACTTATTTATGCCAGTGATCGAACCCGATGCCTCTAATTTTAATAAATATGTTTTAAAATGCAGACATCAAATTTATGGGGACAGCACTCTGAGTTACCCAGCAAGGTCTGCTTCTACTTCTTATTCACACTTTAACATTATTGAAATACTATTGAACTGTGCTCTGTTTTTAAAATTAACATTAGATTATAAGCATTTCTTCTTAGGTGGTACACATTTTTTAAATATATACATACATCCCTCAGCCCAGCCTGCACTCTCTCGGGAGATGTCTGACTGGGGGACTGGGCTCTGCCATCTTGTGGCTATGGGTGCCGCCATCTTGTGAGGGCGTGGCAGTCAATTAGCATATTCCCTCTTTATTGGCTGTGGCACTGCTAACTTTGTGAGGGTGTAATGGCCAATTAGCATATTCCCTCTTTATTAGAGAGGATGCTATTTTAATTGGCTAAAAAATGTTTTGTCATCTTAATGTTAACATTTGTGAAATCATGTCTGCATTATTGACCAGGTTTATTGCTAATTTTCACTATTAAAAGCCGTTCACTGAAAATCTTTGTGGATAATTTTCTTTTCTGTAGTTTAGATCCTTTCTTTTGGGTAATAGTTGAAGAAATTGACTTAGTGGATCAAACAGTATTCTTTTATTGACCTCCACGGAAAATAAATGTCATCGGATAATGAGTCTTTCTTTTCTTCCTCAGCTCACTACCCTGGGAAATCTTACGCCTTCAAGCACCGTGTTTTTCTGCTGTGATATGCAGGAAAGGTTCCGACCAGCCATCAAGTATTTTGGGGATATTATTAGTGTGGGACAAAGATTGGTACGTTTGCTTATTCTTTTCAATTTACTAAAGTATGATATATATTCATATCTATATATGCGTATTACTAATTATCTTTGTGGGGTTTTTTGTTTGTTTGTGTGGTTTTTTTTCAGTTGCAAGGGGCCCGGATTTTAGGAATTCCAGTTATTGTAACAGAGCAGTACCCTAAAGGCCTTGGAAGCACTGTTCAAGAAATCGATCTAACGGGGGTAAAGCTGGTACTTCCAAAGACCAAGTTTTCCATGGTGTTACCAGAAGTGGAAGCGGCCTTAGCAGAGATTCCTGGAGTCAGGAGTGTTGTGTTATTTGGAGTAGAAGTAAGTACCTTTTACTGCGTTTTGGATCTTATTTGCAGAAAACTTGATTCCAGAATGCATTTTTGTATATAGAATACCATGTAGGAGGTATTCCTGATGAAAAGTAGCCACCACGTATTAAGTGTTTACTCTTTGCATGGCACTAATCTAAACACTTTATATGTTAATTCATTAAACTCCCATAGCAACCCTCTCAGCTAAGTGCTCCCCATATTATAGCTGAGGAAACTAAAACACAGATGCTATATAACATTAAGGGATGGAGCTAGATTGCAATCTAGGTTGATAAATTCTTGGGTTTTTACTTTTACCATTACTTCCGGAACACATTTTCACTAAAGGCATTATTTTTATGTTGTAGGGTTTCACCTTGGGTCATAATTTTGCTTTAGAAAAACCTTAGAAGTCATGTAGTTCATTGTCATTCACTTTCCAAACATGCACATACCTTTTTTTAAAATATATTGTATTGATTTCAGAGAGGAAGGAGGAAGGAGAGAGAGATAGAAACATCCATGATGAGAGAGAATCATGGATCCGCTCTCTCTTGCAAGTCCCCCATTGAGGGGTTGAGCTCACAACCTGGGCACGTGCCCTTGACCAGAATCGAACCTGGGACCCTTCAGTTTGCAGGTCAACGCTCTATCAGGCCAAACCAACTAGGGCATGTACATACCTTTTTAAAGGAAAAAAAAAAAAAATACTCATGGATTCCTAATGCTGATTAAAATGATTTTTTTATTTGATTTGTTTTTCTTTGTACAATTAGAATATAAGTGTTTCTTCATAGCTTTTCAACAACTATTGAACTGAATTTAAAGTTACTTTAAAAACAATGAAATCCAGAAAAGATTAGTTTAATGTACTTCCCATGTTTTGAGAGTAGGTTTTATAGTGGTAAGTTTTAACAGTAGAAAGGTGTAGTCTCGGGTTTCGATGTACGTTTAAATATCTTAAGACAGCCGAAACCGGTTTGGCTCAGTGGATAGAGCGTCGGTCTGCGGACTGAAAGGTCCCAGGTTCGATTCTGGTCAAGGAACCAGCTGCCTCCTGCACACACCCAGCCAGGGGGTGTGCAGGAGGCAGCTGGTTGATGTTTTTCTCTCATTGACGTTTCTAGCTCTCTATCCCTCTTCCTTCCTCTCTGTGGAAAATCAATAAAATATATTTTTAAAAAATAAAAAAAATAAATATCTTAAGACAAATATAGAGGAAGCCTTTTTGTATACATGTCACGCCAGATGCTGTTGCTGACTTTTGCACTTTTTTTCTTTTTTTTCGCTCGTTCATCATCATGAGACCTCGTGCCTAATGAGGATGATCTTTGAGCACTCCTCCGGTGCTAATTGCCGTGAGCTGAGCTGTCAGTTGATAATTCTCCAAAACCCTCTTGTCGTGTAAAGATAAGGTTGGCCTTGTGGCGCTATTGGAATCTGCTCTCCTCTGTTGTATAATCCAGCTGTGGTTGGAGCATGTTTTTACTTTATGTTTCCCCCGCTAGCGATTTGTTACAAGTTAGCGTGTGGAGAGATGGAACCTGCATCATCCGTTTGCTGGGACACCCGGTATTGTTTGCTGGTGTCAAGAGTTATTTTTATCCTGGCCTATCTTCACTCCGGGGCGCCTTATAACAACTCAGTTCTCCCGTTGCTTTCTCTATCTGCAGTGCTGCAGACTCACTCTGTGTATTGGGCACTTGGTGTGGATTCAGAAATAAACCCATTTGTGGCTGAAACTGGTTTGGCTCAGTGGATAGAGCGTCGGCCTGCAGACTGAAAGGCCCCGGGTTCGATTCCTGTCAAGGGCATATATATTGGTTGCGGGCACATACCCTGTAGGGGGTGTGCAGGAGGCAGCTGGTCGATGATTCTCTCTCAACGACGTTTCTAGCTTTCTATCCCTCTCCCTTCCTCTCTGTAAGAATTCAATAAAATATATTAAAAAACAAAAACAAAACAAAACAAAAAAACAATTGTGAGTGGCATCAAAACCGGGTGGTGGCAGTCAGCTGTTGGAAGGTCACCCAGGTGACAGAGGAAAACCTTTTAACAAAGCCTCACAGAGTTCTAAGAATGTGGTCCAGGATCCCCGTAGGAGGAACGTCGAAGTAATCCAGTCCCTGATGTTACAAAGAGGAAACTACACCAGAGATGCTGTTTAAGCTCAAGGTTACCTAGCAGGTTGGAGGCGAAACTAGGTTAGGACGAGGTCATTAGACCTGCCATGCTCTTCCTGCCTCGTCGTGCGGTTGCACATTTGCAAAAGACTTTGCATATGATTCTTACCTTCCTCCTAGACGCACGTGTGCATCCAGCAAACAGCCCTGGAGCTGGTCGGCCGAGGTATTGAGGTTCATATCGTTGCTGACGCCACCTCATCGAGAAGCATGATGGACAGGATGTTTGCTCTCGAGGTAATTGTCCTGCCGCAGAACAAGTCATTTACCAAGTTTCCCAAATCAGTTTGAAGAGCACTGAGTATTTGACAGCAATGCAGGGTGTGCCTCTGCGACGTGAGCGTGGTCAGGCAGGACCGGGCTCCTTGGTTTCCAGAGACCTTTGCGATCTCACCCCCATAGCCTATTTTATAGCCCGCCTCCTTGGATCTAGATAACTAGTGACGCCAAGAGCTCCTCGATGTCTTTTGTCATAACTCTGCTAGAGATTTGTGCGTGAACTGAGAGAAATTCCAGTAAGCCGAACCGGAACCATTTAGAGATTTGCAATTAAAAACAGCTCACCCAGGTTTAACTCACCCGAGATCTAGCCAAACTGAGGGCATAGTGGGCCTAAGCCTGGTTCAGTCTCATGGGACATTTCCTCAGACTGGGTTTCTGGGTCTCGGAGGTCTGTCCCTGACTGCATACCACTCACGTGCCGTGTATCGTGGTTCTCTGACTAGAGTGTCAAGATGTGCCTCATCGTCCTTTGAAATATTCCCTCCATATTGTGAAGATTCATTCCGTGTGTGTGTGTGTGTGTGTGTGTGTGTGTGTGTGTGTGACTCTAACCCTATAATGCTTTTAGAGTAATGTACGTGTAAGTTGAGTTGCTGAGTTCTTTAACGGACGGCCTATGAACCACTTTCTCTGTAGGATGGCCGTCCTCTTTTTAGCCTGCAGCATTCCCTGGGGGTGAGGAGGGGAAATGAGGAGGAATCTGGGGTGGAAAGGAGAGGAGTCAGTGGGGAGGACTGTGCAGAGCAGGTGGGGAACAGCATTTGTTTAAGGTCCTGGTTGGCCATCCCTCCTCTGTTTTATCCCTGCCGCAGTGAATTCTGTTTGGAGGTTATGGGTGGAAACAGGTTTATTAGTTTTGGTTAAATCTTTTTAAGTCCATTTGGACTGTTGGGTTCCCTGGTACCTAAGATCCTAAGGGTTGCTTTTCCCCACCTCAGCGAAGATCTTTAAGCTGCTTTTACAGCCGGGGGTTAATCACCTTCCACATTTCGGATTTTAATAATGAGTTTATCACTCCCACCGCCAGATCCTCGCTGCCCAGCCAGCCGCTCCGCTCCTCGGCGGATAATTCATCTTCCTGGGAGTGCTGAGGTCTGGAACTTGAAGTGTTTCCAAGGAAGTGAAAACTAAAAGCATACAAGGAGCACAAATCTTCCTTGTTTATAAAGATAGTTCAAGGACGTTTGTTCTACTGTCGTGTTAGTTTTTTAGACGTGTCTTTATTATGGCATTTATTATATTATAGAAGATTGTTATTGTTGGCAATCCTGCCTTCTCCCGAGACTCAAAATAAAATCTTAGCTTTTTATCATCGGAATCTCATTCCTTGAGAGGCGACCTGTGATCTCAGTGACGAGGGGTCCACACTGTGGAGGGTTCATGTGGGTGTGAATGCAGGTTCTGGCATTTTGTAAATTTGTTACCTAATATCTATGCCTCAGATTGCTCACCAGTGAAGTGGAGGTGATTTCACTACCTGGGAGGGTTTGGGGAGGATCGAATGAGATAATGTGTTAGTAGCACTTAATACCGTGTCTGACACTGTAATCACACATGATAGCTGCTGCTTTTATTCTTAGTGTTATTATTTGTTGTCTTCCTGAGGTTAGTCTTATCAGAAATGTATTAGCTTGCAAAACCCAGAAGGGAATAGTCCTGAGAAGTTCTTAGGAGGAGAGAAGAGAACATAGTGCAGGGTGGATTGGGAAGAGCCTGAAGCAGCCAGCATTGAGTTAAGGCGTTGAGGTTGAAAGAGAAAACAATCAGGGCAGACGGGGAGAGGGGAGCCCCTCCACATTTCCGTTTCCTGCTAAGCCTGGATGCGCTGTGGAACTGTCTTAGTTTGTCCCTGAGTTATTGAGAGAAACGTTACATTTTCTTCTCTATTTTATGACCCTGAAAGTTAAACAGCAATCCGCCAGCTCCCCTTCTTGGTTCCCTTAGAACCCAACTCCTGGAGATAATTCCTGAGACCACCCATACTGCCTGACAAGGTCATGACACTCATAAAGTTTATAGCTACCATCACGGGAATTTCTGTGCCCGTGAGCTGGGAGCTTTACTCAGCAAAGCTCTTGGAGCGCCTGCCACCTAGCAGGCTTTGTTGCTTTCCACGAATAACCGTAGAGTAAGTGCAGAGTAAAATGGAATAAAGCACTCTCCTGAAGTTTATGTCCTTGTGCTTCTGGGGAGTCGTTAGTGTTGCTTGGAAATTTAATGGATTTGCTTCCCCCCCACCCCACCCACACACACACACACACCCAACCCCCACACCCCTGTCCTCTCTTAAAGCCACATGGGTTTGTGCTCTTGCATTTTTCGGTCGGTGGGCCAGACTGACCATTCCTTTGGCCTGGTTGGCCTGATGCTGCATGTGTAAGGGAAGCCCGTCGGAAACCTACTACCATGTCCCCGTGTGTGGTCAGACAGCTGGCGTTTCCACTGCCTTCTAAAGCCAGGAACGAACGCGGTTTGGGACCAGCCCTGCAGGGGTCCTGTAGCTCGGGGTGGTGAGAGGAGCCTGCCAGGGTCTGGAAAAGCCGCCGTGGCTCCCTCCCTGCGTCCAGGCTGTGGTTGGGCAGGTGCCGTGCGAAGGTCTACCAGTCACGCCTTCCCCTGCACGGGTTCTAGGCTTGATTATTTTTGAAGCCAATCGATAGTGGCCGTAGGTCAGTCTTGTAAGGTCGAATAGGCTTTTGTGGGTCTGTGCCTGGAGCTCCCGGCCTCCCCCACCACGGAGGCCGACTGACTCTCGGCATCTCTGAAGGCTGCTGAGGGGACCAGGCCCGGGTCCACAGAGCACTGGGGAGCGCTGGCTTCTTCCTGGGGCATCCGGTCTCTTCCTCGGACCTGGGAACAGCTCTCTGTCCTTCCTGCCTCACTAAGGAACTGGAGGGATGAGGGACAGCTCCCTTTTGTGGGCATTTGGGATTTTCTAAAGCACCTTCACTGACACTGAGTGTGCGGGACTCAGATCCAGGCTGAACGTTGGAAGTCCGCTGATGCCACCGTGAGTGGTAAGACAGGCAGGACGGCCGGCGGGGAGGGCACCGGCGGGGTTTGAACGCCTGGACACACGGCTGGGCAGCAGCTAGTCCTGCATGTTCTCCCCGCCCTTCTGCCTGAAGCAGGCACACAGTCCTGTGAGATTCCTGCAGGTTTGGAGATGTTAGAGGACGGAAAAGCAAGGAGGAAAGACATTCCCAGAGGTGCTGGAAACACCCAGAGCTCACTCCCCTCTGGCATTTATCCCAGAGCGAGGGGCACCGTAACCTCGCTTTGTGCTTCCTCTTTCCTCCATTCGTCCCTGCTGTCTTTTCTCCCGAGAGTTCTGGTCCTCTGCCCTGCACGCCCTCTGTCCCGGCTCTCGAGGCCCAAGCCTGTTCTCTCATAAGCAGGCTGGGGCTCTCTTCCGTCTGCATCTTTGGGGTGAAGAGCAGGAGCATGCCAGTGGGAAGGTAGAGCCTGCGGATTGACAATTGTCTGAAGGAGGATTTACTTTCCCTTTACAGGGCTGTCTGGCTATTCAAGCAACTCCTCCCTCCCTCCCTCCCTCCCTCCCTCCCTCCCTCCCTCCCTCCCTCCCTTCCTCCCTTCCTTCCTTCTTTCCTTCCTTCCTTCTTTCCTTCATTCCTAGAGGCCTGATGCACCAAATTTGTGCAAGGGGATTGGTCCCCCACCGCCTCTGCCTTGGCCCCCACCTGCCATGGCGGCCACCTCCGCCTCAGTCTGTCACCTCAGCTTCGTTGGGAAAGTCATCGGATCTAATTAGCATATTACACTTTTATTATCATCAATTATTATATTTAATCTTTATTGTTGAAAATATTACAAATGTCCTCTTTACCCCCCCCCCATTGACCTCTCCCAGCCTGCCCCGCCCCCCAGCCCAGGCCTTCACCACCCTACTGTCTGTGTGCCAGGATTGTGAATATGTGCATATTCATGTATTCAGAACAAGGTCGTTGGTTGATCTCTCCCAACCCCCCACCCTCTCCTGCCTTCCCTCTGAGGTTTGACAGTCTGCTTGGTGCTTCTATGTCTCAGACCTATTTTTGTTCATCAATTTATGTTCATTAGATTCCCAGGAGTCGCTCATATGCGGAATCTAATGAGCAACTCCTCCTTTCCGATGAGAGGCTGACCTGGGCCTTTGCCTCTGGCTTGCCTGGAAGTTTTTCTCTCCACCTCATCGTCCATGGTCCTCATAGCAGATGTTTCTGGGGATAACTGTTGGTCCGTTGTTTTGCTGTTTGTTTGGTTTTTTGTTTGGTTGGTTGGTTGCCTTGGGTTTCGGATAACAAGTACATCCAAACAATGAATCTTTACTCCAGAACTCTCTTCTCACCTCCCTTCCCCCTTCCCCCTCCTCCCCGTCTTTCCCTCCACTTTCCCCTGTTTGCCTTCCTCCCTCCCTCCTTTCTCTCCCCACCACTCCACGCTCTCCCTCCTTCCCCTCCTTACAGTTCCGTCCTTAGTTCCCTTCCGTGATTCCACTGGAGCAGTTTGGCAAGGACTCTTTGACCTGTCAGTGAATTTACACAATCTTAACTTTTATGCTGTAGTTAATGATGTAGTTAACATCATTAACGTGTTAATGATGATGGCAGTGGTGGTGGGTCCATTGTCATGAGGGGCACATTCTTTTTTTAATATATTTTTGTTGATTTCAGAGAGGGAAGGAGAGATTGAAACATCAATGATGAGAGAGAATTACTGATCAGCTACCTCCTGCACATCCCCACTGGGGATCAAGCCCACAGTTCAGGCATGTGCCCTTGACTGGAATTGAACCCGGGACTCTTCAGTCCCCGGGCCGATGCTCTATCTACTGAGCCAACCGAGCTAGGGCCAAGGGCACATTCTTAAACGAAACCTGAGGCTCTCCCACCGCCTGTCCTTTCTTACTTAGTGGGAGGACACACATGCTATCCGTCACATGTTTGTGGACAGAAAAGGTAAGTGAGAATCACTGTTTTACCGCCTTGATTTCCCATCTATCCTGGGCAAAACATTGGCTGTGTTCTTTTACTTGTTTCTAGCCTGTAGTGCCAAAATATCGAGAATAACACGGTGGGCTTGCGGTGTGGTTAGTTCGAAGTCTGCCCCCGTCACTGAATTCGATAGAATAGCTAAGTCCATGGATTTCATGGAGAACACTAATCACGGTGTCCCAGCATCCTTTCTGCTGCTGTAACCTGGTGTTTGTGCTCACGCTTCTGTCTTCGTTTGTCTTTCTCCTCTCTCTACAGCGTCTTGCTCGGACTGGGATCATAGTAACGACCAGTGAGGCCGTGCTGCTGCAGCTGGTGGCTGACAAAGACCATCCGAAGTTCAAGGAAATCCAGAATCTGATCAAGGCCAGTGCTCCGGAGTCGGGCCTGCTTTCCAAAGTCTAGGGCCTTTGAAGGACTGGCGTGCCCCCCACCGTCAGGGGCCAGGGCCGTGACTGGACAAGCCCTTGTCTCTACTAGAATTAAAATGTTAAGTCAAATACTGGCTCTTTTTTTGCGCCTCTTAGTAAAACCTAGTAAAAATGGTCTAACATTTGGGTACCAGCATTTAGTTACCAATGTCAAAGGCTTCAGGTGCTGCTTATCTTCTTTTCTTCTTCTTGATGTGCCCTTATTTATTTAAAAAATATATATAATAGAGGTGCCTGTTTTGTCTATACTGTGTACTTTGGTCATAGCTCAAGAGTGCACACTCGTGAAGTTTTCCTATGTTGTGCACTGCAAAGAAAACGCTGTGTTGACAGTAGTTTGACTTTTGTATTATTGTGACACATATGTGAAGACTTTAATGTGGTTTTACTTTACAAATTGGTTGAAATAGGATTCTTATGTGAGATTTAAAAGCAGGTCTCTGAATCACGGTACCCCTTCCCCTCATAATGCAGTCAGTGTACTGACTGAGTTGCATTCATCTAACCAGATGGAATTAGGTTGGGTAATTATATATCTTTCATGTTTATGCTAATTTTCTTATTCTGGTCACCATCACTAATTCTCTGTTAATGTTCTCTTTTTTTAATTGAGTCTTTTCCTAGTTAGACTCGTTGGGTCATTGTTTTAATTTTGTGAACAGATGGGATGATTTGCAGTGTCACTGGAGGGCTGTTTTCAAATCATTGAGGTATTACCTTAGCTGACTATCTTTACAAAAATATCAAATATATCTTCTAATATGTATAAGATTTAGCAAAAAGTTAAAGGCTGGATAAAAATGTAGTTCTCAAATGTTCATATTTTTGTTTGATATTTTGCCACTTACCCTCCACTTATATAGGTACCAGTAACAATTTGGTAGTATTAATTTTGTAGTCATTGCTATCCTTCGATAAATTTATTTTCGTTAAATAACTAGTAAAGGGTTTTAAAACTTTTTTTAAGTATTATGTGAACTATGGGTCATTGCTGTCTTTTATATTAAAGTAATTGAAGAAAATATATTATGTGAATGAAATTATTGTGTCCCCCACTACACAGCTCTCTGAGAACTATTCCAGGCATTCTACTACTTATTTAAAGGTAGAATATAATGTATAAATGTTGCCATTTATAATTCTGAGAATGTTCAAAGAAGGAAAATCCTTTGCAGACATTTTCAAAGGAGGAAAATCCTTTGCAGAGATTTTGCTGACGGGCGTCTTCATGATTCAGGAGCAGTGGAGATGTTTGTTTCGTCAGTGGTAACAGACAACAACCTCACAGTTCTTCTTGTGGGTGTGTTTCAGTTTTTTCTTTTCAGCAGCCTCGTGTGACAAAAAGAAAAATCAGAGATTCCTCCACATTTTAAAGTAGTTCTTAATAAATTTGATGTAGTGCTTTTCAAACTTCAATATGAGAGCCAATCACTTGGGGATCTTGTTCAAAGGCTGACTCTGGCTCAGTTGGTCTGGGTTGAACCACACTGAGTAGCACCGATTTGACTGACAGCACCAGGGTCCCTTCGCTGCTCCTTCCCTTCTTTTTTCATGAAATGCCGCCACCACGAAGCTTTTCGGAGCTGAAGCCAAGCCTGTGACCCTGCCTCGCTTCCTGTGGCCGCCACGCCAGGTGACCACAAACAACACCCTTCTGATCTCACAGTCCTGCAGGTTCAAAGACTGAAATGGGTCTCCCTGGGCTAAAGTCCATCTTTCCCAGGGGACTGTAAGTTCCTTGAAAGCAACACCTGTGCATTGTCTACACTCCTTCTGGAAACACACTGTGAGAACCTAGTAAGTTCTAAATAGTGTGCTACGTGGTCAGGATGGAAAGATGCTCGGGCAGCTTATGATCTGGTATTGAATTAAGATTCAGGAATGTCAATCCAGTGTTAAAGTTCAGAGAAACCTAATTGGGAATTCTGCCTTCTCCCTTCTTTTTTGCAGATCATGCAAAAGCAGGATGTCAAGGCCTTATTATAGGAAAACTGAATTGATTTTAATACATTAGACTTTGAATTTGGACGTGTCTGTAACTTTGTAGGATAATAAGATCCTATTACCAGTAACTGATGGACATAGAGAATTTGAAAACATAAGCAAAAGGATAGTATAGTGTATGAAACTGCAAGGGGGTTAGGAGCCAGGAGCCAGACACTTCATTTATAGAAATGCTAACACATCTGCAGACACTTAGTCTAAAACTGAAAGGGATAACCTATTCTAGCCAGGAAACCCAGTACCCTGTTATAGCCATTCAATTCCACATTTCTCTAATAAGGTGTGTTAGTTTCCTCTTTAAAAGTTAACATTTGGGTAATGATGACTTTAGAGCTGGGTAGAACTTCCAAGGTCATGATTCCAGAGGTCCATGCAGCTATAAAATTCTAACGTGGTTTTGTTTCACAGATTCGGCTGGTGAGGCCCAGACACACTCTTTCTGAAATTGCACAGGTGGTTCAAGACAGTGTGAGGAGAACCAGGTTCCTTACCACATGGGCCTGCACTGTCAGTAGTGGGGACGGGGAGGGGAGGCAATAAGAAGGATACGGTTTACAATCCATAAAACAGTCCTCTGTTTTACATGAGCAAAGCTAATGGGATATTCCTGGTGCCCACGGCTGTTCCTGTGCCACAAGCTTCAATCCAGTCTTACTTCTTTTCGGATGGTTTTCTAACTATTTCAGGAGAATGGCTGATCACACGAAAATTAGCATTTTCATTGTTGAGTAACTATATATCAATAGTCCCACATCGCTAATGCCTCTTCTACTTCATTGAGCATTATTGCCACTGTTTAACCTTGATTAAAAAGAACTGAATAATCACCAGGCTACCACGAGATGGATCAATTTCTTAGGTGCGATTGAAATAGATTTTTACAATAATTGCACTTGGCTTTCAGAGTTTTTATTTCCATGTTGCTTTTATCTATGAAGCCTGAGCAAGCAGATCTCTTACCAAGGAAGTTTAGTTTTAGAAGAGAGACAAATCCAAAATGGTGGCCCAATAAAAATAGCCCAGGAATTGCTGTTGGAGAGATTATAATCCTGATAATTTGCGTGCTTTTGGAGACAGAATTCTGAAATGGCCCTCCAGGTTCCCCGCTGTGGTGTATGCACACCTTCTCCCAGTTAACGCTCACCTCACTGCAGCTGGAAGGGGTTCGCTCAGGGAATTAAGGTCTCGGATCACCTGCAGATAAGGAGAGAGCCTTTGTGGTCTTGAGCCAATCAGGTGAGTTCTTTAAAGGGACTGGGCTCCTCCGGGCAAATTGGATTCAGGATGTGGGAGGGCGTCCAGGAGGAGGCCTCGCCTTGGCTGAGGATCGTCCAAGGCTGAGGATGGGGCGGCCAACAAGGAGACAGGGACCCAGTTGCACAACCACAAAGAACTGAAGTCAACAACCAACCTGTGGGAGTTTGGAAGCAGATTGCCCTCGGAGCCCCAGGTAAGAGCGCAGAGCAGCTGACACCTGGATCGCCTGCCTGGGGGGACCCTGAGCAGAGAAGGCCGTGCGGGGCCTGGGCCTCTGACCTCCAGAACCATGAGCGAATGCCTTTCTCTTGTTTTTAAGCCACAAAGTTTATCCTTGCTACAGTAGACCAGGAGAAAACTAGTGTGCCCGCTCTTTGGGGTTGTGTTATTTTAACTTGCAGTCATGTATATATGAAGAAAAGGGGAAAGAGATAACTAAGTGGGATGTCATTCAGAGGATACACTGTGTCTATTTTAAATTCCAGTTAGCTCCTATTTGTTTCCAGGAAAGGGGGTAGGCAGGGAAAATATGTCCTTAGTCCATTGTTAGTAAAGTTTTTTTTTTGTTTGTTTGTTTGTTTAGTGTAAGGTTAGCTTTTTGTGTTTTTCTTTGCAGAAAATAGTCAACTTGGAGCACACCTGTCATTTCTTAATATAATTGTTAGCTGCACCGTGTGTTTTACTTCTCAGCTCTAAGAGTCACTTGGCTTCGGATTTGTTCATTGTTCTTGCAGCTGCTTCCTTGTTACTCCAGACAGTAAATGCAAGAGATGAAAGGTGATGTGTCTCAGAACCTATAGTTAATACGCAAGTACTCATTGTTAACATGTATGGAACACATGCAGCTTTGAACTGGGCTTCTGGAAAATGCATATTGTGCTAAAAATGTGATGATTTATGAATTGTTGGAAATGTGGATTCCCCCCCCCCAAGAAATTAGAACCCTGAAAAGAAAACATGGAATACGAATGAAGGACGTGGGTGTAAATTGTTAGCTGCTGCGCGTATATTGGTGCCTTTAGGTTGTGTTGTTTATATGCCAATAAGTAGATGCTCTGTTCTTTTGGACAATTCGGCAAAATTTAAATATGCTGTGTCCCATGAAGTCAATATTGGATTTCAGCAATTCATTCCTGAAGGTAGACAGTATGTTTATATCTAGCACAGTGTGTGTGTGTGTGGTTGGTTGAGTGTTGTCCCATGCGCCAAAAGGTCACCGGTTCAATTCCTGATCAGAGCACTTCGCGAGTGTATAGGATCCCCAGTAGGGGTGTGCGGGAGACAGCCAACCAATGGTTCTTTCTCATCAACGTTTCTCTCTCCCTCTCCCTTTCCCTTCCTCTCAGTGGCTATGTGATGCATTGTGTAATTGAAATCACAGACCTGGCTCCATTCTTAATTACTTTGATAATTGGGGCAAATTTCACTTCTCAAGGTTACCAACTGCTTAAGTAACAGAAATGGCCTGGGTGGGAGTGTTCAGGGCCTTGACGACATGAAGGGGTGTAAGAAACTCAAAGGGGCACTGCCCCTCCCGACGGAGGGCGCAGTGTCCTGCAGGGAGAGGGCGGTCGGGCAGGCTCTGGTGCTGGTGCTCCCTCTGCAGCAGCCCTGACGCCTTTCTGAGAGAGAGCTCCAGATTCGTGCAGGAAATGGGCTTGGATGTGATGACAAAAATTACCCACCCCTTCCTCTTCTGGATCCTACATGCTA